ATGAAGATATGCCTTCCTAGAGGAGAAAAAAATAGATCTCTGGATTTCAAAGAGCTTCCCTCCAGGTTGCCTATAGAGTAAACGAAAGCACCAGAGAGACAACGAGGCAAGCGGAGAAGCTGAATCAATAAACTTGAAATCCAGCAAACCACAGTGTGGATAATAGTCTTTTGGATAAACAAGCTGAGAATTACAAGTGCTCAATCTTATGATTTTCTTATAATCTTATATTTCCTAGACACTGTAGGAAGAGATCTATATAGGAAAATGCTTGTATGCTAGAAATCAATAATGTATGGGTTCACAATAAAATTGTTAGGTCAATATACTTATAAATAGAAAGTTATAAGTGACAGATGTTAAAAGAACTCTGATTTTAAGAATAAGGGACAATTAACTGTGAGATAGAGTTTGCAAGTGTCCACAAGAGTTCCAAATGGAGAGTGGAAGAATTCTTTGGGAGAGAGATGAAACTCTTTTAACAGGTAAAAATCCTTCCAAGAGCTCTTCAGTTGTGTGCTTAGCAATTCTAGAATGATCCAGTCATTTCTGCGCTAATTGTTTGTGTTCTGATTGCAGATCATACATTTTAATTTGTTGATGTAGGTCCAGAATAAATAAATGTAAAGAGTGTTTCACACAGACAGAGGTTGTCCTATGGAAATAAATCTCTACACCTGTAGTAATAGATTAATGGCTTCTGGGGTAAATCATACCTGTAGATGTTTTTCAAAATCAGGAAATAATCTAGGCCTGGTGGCACTTGCCTGTAATTGTAGCTACTCTGGAGGTTGAGGCAGGAAGATCACATGTTCAAGGTTAGCCTGGGCAACTACCCTGTCTCAAAACAGATTTTAAAAGGGCTAAGGATGTAGCTCAGGAGTACAGCGGCTCTTGGTTCAATTTCTAGTACCAGAAAGAAAAATGAAAACAAAAATCAGGAAATTTTGCACAAAATTTTAGTCTTCATTTAAAAGATTTGAAATCTGTCCGTATTAGGCACACTATCCTTCAAGGAAACCATTGGCTGGAGGTGAGTGGACAGTGTACCTTTAATATATTACTTTCTAGTTATCTTATTCTCACCACTCTTTTATATTGAATTAAATCCTTTCAATCACTCATCTCTTACAGCAATGACTTCTGTGACTGTTCTTCTACCCAAAAAACCATCCTCATTAAAATTACTCCAGAGAGTTGTCAACCAATCTTCCATCTTTTAACAACCTGTTAGCATTTGTTAGCTTTGGTTCCACGATACTTGGTGATTTTATTTGGCTCCCATTATATGTTCCTTATTTCTGGCCATGTTTCCAACTCAACCTCTGACACAAGCACCATATTATGGTGTTTCACCTGTGTTTTCTTGGGACATTTCCTACCCACTCCAATTTGGGACTTGGCTTCCCTTTGCTTTCTGGTTACTGAAAGCTAACTCAAATCTCATAGTCCAAGGGACCTGATAATGTCTGAGGTCTGTCTAAGTAATTAAATATGACAGGCTTTTTATTTTTAATGTGCCTCTGGCTGATTGTTGGTATGAATGGCTCTAATTTTCCATGCCAATGTAGAAAGTGAGTACCTTCCTATATTGACTCTGAACTTGACCTTGTATTTAACTTGGGCCAGTGCGACCTTTACAAATCTACTCAGAGGCTTTAAAATAAGCTTGTACATTTCCACTTCTTCTATTGCCTCTGATTGCCTTGAAATCATCCTCAAGCAAGGTTAAGGACATGTTTGCTGAAGGGTTATCAAAGACTTGTGCAAGTAAGAGACACAAAGAGAGCTTAACTCACCAAGCTGAGACTATGTTGTACCAGCCTGCAGTCAGCTTATCCCATATTAAAGATTATATGATCCAGCCAAGTTCATCAGTCACCTACATAACATGGAACTTACTGCTTGAATGAGCCTAGACAAGACCAGAGTTATCATGCTGACCCACCAAATGGTGAACAGTAATAAATACCTATTGTTTTCGGCACCTGTGTTTTAGAGTAGGTGTGTTACAGAGCAATGGCTAATTGCTACAGTTTCCCAATTAGTGAGATTTTAATTGTATTTATGATATACTTTTTTCATGAGAAATGAGCCTATAAGAAAGTGGTTACACACTTAACAATGTGCCAAGAAAATATTCTTATTATATTTTGAAGTTGCCCAGAAGCAAAAAACCAGAAAATAATTGAAGGGTTGCTTTGGGATAGGTTGTTTTGATTTTGGAGAACATAAATATGTCTCCTCTAAAAATTGAACGTGTTCTGGGGACATTCAAACCCAATGTTTGTGTAGTAAGTGGCGTTCCAAGCCCATTTCCACATAGGTAAGAGGATCTCGGGCTGGCATGCAGAAAATATTTCCGACAAACCATCGCATTTACTGTTACTTTGCAGAAATGTGAGTGGAAATAAGTGCATTAGGGGACCTCAGAAGGTTTGGCAGTGCATTTTAGATGCTTATCTGAGCCACACGAGTTAGGAATCTGGGATGGAAATCTCCTAAGAATAACCATTCTCACGAAATTTCCAATCCCTCTTGTTTTTGGCAGAACTTAAAATTCCGTGGAAATGGCTCATGTCGCAAGACTTCTGTGTGGTGCTGGCCAGCACCAGGAAGGAGAGCAGCCCAGGAAAGGAAAACCAAACCAATGTGGCTGCATGTTTTCACGCCTTTGAAAAGGTTTGGGTTTGGCTCAAACCAGGAAAGAGCACTTGGGGTTTTTATTTTGTGCCAGCTTTTTCAAATACCATTCACCTGACTCATAGAGCTTTGAACATCAGGAGGAAAAAAGGGAGTGAATAAATTTTGAATATTCTTGATGTTCAAACATACTTTGAAAGAGACTCCTTGCTGAGAGAAAGAACATAATACTACTGGGGCATGATGTACTCATATGCCGCTTGCTGGGAGTCAGAGGGGCAATGCGATGTGTTTGTCATTCATTCAATATGTACTAGTGCAGGTGATACCAAGGTGTATAAGATAAGATTTTTCCCTTTAGATAGCTCTCACAGCCTAGTGAGAGGGATCAAATTTGCTTGTTCTTTCCCAAATTCTGCTAGGATTCTAGAATCCAGTAAATTCACGTGTGTCTGTCCTTTTCAGAATAACCTGGCCATTTCGTTCATCTATTGTAATATTGTAATATTACTGTAGTATTCTAATGTTGCTGATTTCATTGCCTGGAATGTCCTACCACCTATTGTCTGCTTGGCAAATTCCAATTTCTACCCAAACCCAGCTTAGACATCCACCTTAACCTTGCTAAACATAATCAATCACTCCTTCATCTTTGCTACCTCTCCACTTTGCACATTTTTGTATATTATGTGTAACATACAAAATTGTGTTCCCAGAACAGAGCCTGAGGCATTGTAGATACTTGGTAACTGGAAATAGATTGCACAATACACCACTATAAAACTTTTTCCCTTCTGTAACACCTGAGCCTTCAATCAACATTATCTCTCAACCTCAGAGTGATCAAACATTTGTCATACCCAGAGTGATTTTTGTCCCAGCAATTTCCATGTGCTTTCTCTGTCCTCCAGGTCACCCTGTCAGCCTTCTCCTGTGCAAAATGTAAAAGGTCAACAAATGCTACCGGCTTAGTACTTTTCCACCAACTGGTGTGATTCTAAGGTGCTAATTTAAAGGGAGCTTAACTCCTGTACTCTAGCCCTATTTACAGCACTCAATTACTTAATGGCTAATATTATGGTAATATTTGAAACTGAAGTACAGAAACTCTTTTCCATGAAGTTTTAACAAGATAAGGATAATCTGATTTTGTTTATTTTTTTTTTCGGGTTGCCAGTGGCTGGGTACTTCATCAGATTACAGCACAAGATGGCACTAATGAAGCAAAGGTCCAGGGTTCACATCTTTGTCTGGTCCAATTATCATGACTGTTTTTCACATTCCTTTTTCATTCCCCTAAATCTCAGACAAGTCTCCTACAAATTACTGCAGTTGAGCAAAGGAGTGTCTAGAAAAAAAGCATGCAAGAAGGGCTTTGTGAAAATTCCCTCTTATTTTTGCAAAATCCAGCTGACAATTTATGTGATGTTGCTGTGTGTGTGTGTGTCATTTTTTTGTATGTGCCTATAACTAAGAGTTAGTCTACCTATCTAACTATCTCTTGTACAATTTGAAAAGCATTCATTGTTTCAGTTAGATGGAAGGATTATGTTACTTGAACACTCGTATTTAATGTATATTATCACATTATTACCATATCAAAACCAGATGTCTAAAATTTGGGCTAGAAATTCCATAATACAGATTGTATTACCTCAGGGTCACCCTACCACCTAATGCTCACTGCTCAGCTGCATTTTGTTAGGGCTTTAATAGGGCAATAATGTGTTTCCACAAGTCTTAGTCTGGTATTAGATGACATGTGGGCTAATTTTGGTGAGTTGAGCAGGCTGGTAGGGGGTTATACAAACCAGAGCAATTTTCTTTCCCAACAATAAGAAAATATGTTAAGAACTATTGCTAATGGAATCTCTCTCTTTCTCTCTTTTGCTGACTTTTGCTATCTTTCTCGCCTTTTCTCCTCTCTTTCTCCCTTTCATCTTTATCTTTCACTTCTTCACTTAAGTTTGTTGCTGTTTTTACTGTACCCAAATGTCCCTCAACCTTCCTCCTGAAGCAAAATCTACCTTTAATTACCATTTTTAAAAAATCTCAGCCAAAGCTCCTCAAAGACTTCCTCTTATTTACCTTTCTTACATTGCTTCCGTATGGATGAAATTACAACAAGCAAGTTCAGAAAGTCGATAACATTTCTGATTTTAAAATTTTTGACCAATGCAATTTAGATAAGGTGAAAAAAAAATAAAAGCCTAAGTGGAATGTAGCCAATGATTCATCTGTCTGCATTAATAGGTTCCAGCAATGGTACTACAGGCACAGAAAGTCTGTTTGCCACTGCACTTAGCAAGCACATGAGCTTAAAAATAAACTTTGACAATGTAGATCTCTTTGTCCTTTCAGGAATGGAAAGCATTATGTACTTCAAAGCACACTGAGCCTGATTTGAAAATATAGTTGGGATTTTGTTACTGTGGCAATTGGGAGGCTCTTCAGACTGCACACAGCACATGGATGCTGTGTGTGTAAATAGTACTTGAGCCACAAAACTAGTGAGAATAAATGAGCTGGCAACTTTGATATGTTCATTCATAAGAAAGAAACTTCTGTCTTTTAAGCTCTCTGGTACATCTGGGACATGATTCCTCATTTTAATCAGGGAATTTCCTCCTGAATCAAACTGCAAAAACAGAGGATTTAAGTAGCACATTTTCACTTGCATACAGCAGCGCTTGTTCATTTTGAGTGTTTTTGGACAGGAAATCGATCTACAGGGTAACATTCACACAAAAAAGGAAACAGTATGGGACGATGGCTTGTTAGTACAAGTGACTCTGTTTTGGAAATTACGGACAAGAAACCTTGGAGGAAGAACGGCATTAAAGATCAAAAGCATGATGACTCTTGATGAAAACATCACCAAATGATGAACCCACGATCAAAAAGGAGCTTCTACTGTAAGTCTCTTTGCAATAACCAAGTATCTTATTTGTTTTCAAATTTTCTAGAGTATTCCGGGTAGATTTCCAAGCAAGAATTTGATGTAGAAGCGTCATTATAGACAAGTCTATAATTAAACTCATTGGGTGGTTCCAACAGAGGGTTAGTTACTGAAATTTTTTCCATGACCTTGCAACACTGAAATAAAATGCACGTTTATTTGGGAATGTTTTATATGATAGGCATGTTATATCAGGCTTTTATTGTGGGATGTATTACTTCTGGCAATGCAAAATTGATCAACATATGTATCTGTAAATTCCATTGCATTTGGATTCTGATAATTTGAACGATGCTTACTTTGGTTTCATGTAGTGGTTAATCCTGTAATCAGGATGTTCACGTATAGGCTCACACATATTATTCGTAATTTGGAGAGAATATTAGCTATTTCCTGAGTGAGTCTTATTTGCATGGTAGGGAAGAGATGGTTTAGAATCCTGACAATGGGGGAAGTGAAGATATGATAGCTCAAACTAAATCCCTGCTTTTTTTTCCTTCTTAAGTTTTCATAGTTTATTTGATAAGTAGTGTTGTTTGAAAATTATTTAAATATCTCTATGTAAATAAGAATTTTAACCTAGTAGGAATATTGTTGTGCTCTTGGAAATGTGAATCAAGCTAACCAAAATTATAGCCCTATGTAAATATTAAATATAGTAAAGCCCATTTTTAGCATTTGGCATATACTGCATACTTAGTAGATATTTTTTGAATGTTGAATAAATTATGATGTCAGAAAAAAATATCAGGATTGTATAGTCATTATTTTATATCAGGGTTTTATTTTTTGGACCTATCCCTGGGTGTGGCTGAATTGTATGTAAAAAAGAATTATACTATTTATTTAATTATAATTGTAATAAACAGGTTACATTATATATTTTTTTCTTTTATAAGAAATTTCTTTTTTTTTTAATTTTTTATTGTTGGTTGTTCAAAACATTATAAATTTCTTGATATATCATATTTCACACTTTGATTCAAGTGGGTTATGAACTCCCATTTTTACCCCATATACAGATTGCAGAATCACATCAGGGTTACACATCCATTGATTTACATATTGCCATACTAGTGTCTGTTGTGTTCTGCTGCCTTTCCTATCCTCTACTATCCCCCCTCCCCTCCCCTCCCCTCCCCTCTTCTCTCTCTACCCCCTCTACTGTCATTCATTTCTCCCCCTTGTATTATTTTTCCCTTTCCCCTCACTTCCTCTTGTATGTACTTTTGTATAACCCTGAGGGTCTCCTTCCATTTCCACGCAATTTCCCTTCTCTCTCCCTTTCCCTAAGAAATTTCTTTAGAAATTGAATTTCCAAGTAATTATTATTCTTGATTGTTTTCTTTTGAGATGCAAAAGAGTTTGTCCCACTTACTGTTTATTTGAAAAAGTGTCAGAAAGCTTTTGGAGTAACTTGGTACATAAAACAATTAGGTATCAATTTGTCACCAGCTAGTATGTAAGGTCTTGGTAGTACAAGTTTGAGGCACTGGAGCTTGAAATAAACACTTTTGGAGCCTCCTGTGCTGAGGGTTGGTAGGTAGGCCAAGACACTGGCTAAGTCCTCCATAGGGAGGTCATCTTTCACTTGCAAGGGACATGAAAATAAACTGAGAGGAGGAAAAGACTGTTGGAGTCCAATTGAATGTTTCCAGGGTGGACAAAGGAAAGGAATTTAGGGGGAGAGTCTTGGAGAGATTAGGGAAACTCATCAGTTATGCTATCTCCATCTTTATGAAGCCTGATAACGCTGTTCTAGAATTCTAATGCTTTCTAGGCTGGGTATAGACATGGCTTCAATGGAACTCATTCCCCTTTGGAAATGAGAATTCTGTACATGTGATTGTTTTGCACCTGATTAGAAATGATGGTGTGATCCATTGGGTGGGAACCCATGGAAGCTGTAGGTAAGCAACAGTTATCATGAATAAAAAATGCTTTTGGATAATTACATGGAACTTTTGGGCAAGTTTAAATTATATCACATGTAACATCATATATAAAAATGAATATGCTTAAATTATCCCTTTAGTAGTTTAATTTCATCTTCTACTTAGCAGTATATTTTACAGGTAATTTCTACAGGCATATCTATCAGAATATAATTCTATTTAGAATAAGATAGAATAAGATAGTTTGTAGGAATTGCCTCAAAGTTCTTTTAGTACTTAGGAGAGTGGTTGATATCATCTGCATGAATACTTTTTTAGGCTAAAATCATCTGGATTTATTATGCAGGACACTGGGATCTCAATCAAGAAATAATGCAACATTTGAGATGTCCTAAGGCTGTTTTTTTTTTTTCTCTTAAGGAAAGGGAAGGCATTTGATTACTATATGCTCAATGAAAGTCAAGTAAGTAATGTATGGTAGAATGATTATAATTTTGAGAATTATCTTCAAAAGGAAAATGTAGGTTTAGACAAACCCCCACCCCCAGCAAGAAAAGAGCAGAATGTAATTATTGTTAACAAATGATACCTTGAATTTTTATGGCATGCTATAATTTTTCTAGTTAGTTATTTAATATCAAAATATCTATAGCTAGAGCTCTCCAAAGATTTGTTGTACCAAGAGGAATGTGTTCCCCACTGCTGGTGGTAGATTAGCAAAGAGAGAAAAGCAAATATTCTGAGTCAAACACACGTGTGTTGGAATTTCGGATCTGTCACTCATAGACTGTGTGACCTTTGCCAATTACCTAAATGCTAAGCCTCTGGATCCCTATATATAAATGTGTTAACAAGTTTTCCTTCTTGGAATTGTTATAAAGATTAAATGAGATAATTTATGCCAATTGCCTAGGATATAGTCAGTATATGATAAGGTAGTTAAACTACTTGGGCTTTAGAAACCTTTCTAACTTTCAGTTTCTAATGATTGTAGCTATTTAACCTAATTCCTCAATTGTATTAAATGTTACCCAAAGGTCTAACTTGATAGAAATATCTACTGTCTATTCATAGGACTCCTAAGCCAAGTTCAGTAATGAGTAAGTTAATCAGAATGCATGAGCTGAAAGTAATCCAGAGGATTTCATTTGTTTGTTTTAAATGGTTCAGGTATACTAGATGGTTGATATCCATTTTATTAACCATCCTAAAGTCATCGATGATTAAGACAGTGGAAACACTGGATTGGCCATTGCTAATGAATTTTACCTTTCATTATTTGTATATAAACTTTGTTTAAACATTTCAGGACACCACCATAATCAGCAAAGTCATTCTCAGCAGAAGTGATTTTTTAAAAAAAAGTTTAAGGACTGAAAATGTTCATCTTAAAAATGTTTCCTAAGACATCTTTCTATGGTGCCTCCAAAAATCAAAATTTTATGTGGATAGTATATGTTCATGATTTAATTTATTGTGTTTATCTGTTGCAAGCACACATGCAAAGCACTTGGGAAGAACCACCATTCTTATGCTACAGCTCAATTTGGCTTAAGCAGTGTTTACACATCACAGATATAAAATAATCTAGTTGCTATATTTCCTATCTGAAAAAAATCACTGATTTTTGAGAGCACGCCAGCAGTGGCTATTAAAATATTATCTTACCTCTGTGTAGTGCTATTTTCTTTTCAAAAACATTTCCACATATATTATTTCATTTGTTCTTACCCTTGAAATGGAGAGGACAGTTACATTAACTACATTTGCAGCATGATCTGAATACTAAACCCAGAAATTAGGCAGAATTCTCTAATGAAAAGTTTGGATAACAAGAAATGAAATTTTGCATGTAGTATATAATTTGTTTAGTGGCTTTATGATCATCTTTGATTTTATCTAGAAACATATGATTCATCGGCTTCTTTCATGCATTAATAGGTATCTTAAACTTGAGCACTAACACTTATTTGTATTGTGCCACTCACAGAGGCCCAGCCAATTAGACACAAAGAAGACATAGTATAATTGGGTTCAGCCTCCATCAGTTATGCAGAAAACCCAGAGTGTCTGAAATTCTTTAGGTCTTCTCTTGTATCATAGCCCAGATACTTCAAGGGAGTGAAGGTGTTTATATGAATTTATATTTTTAAAATTTTTTTTACAATGTATTCAAAGCCCACACATGTGCTTTTGGCTATCTTCCTTGGCTGCTGGTGTGACATGGATTTGGATAACTGTAGTGTGTGTGTGTGTTTGTGTGTGTGTGTGTGTGTGTGTGTGTGTGTGTTTAAATCAACATTGACAGCATCAGCTCAAAGATTAACAGTCTACCTCTTGTGGGCATGGATTTCAAGACTTGTGGCATAATTATATCCTATGATTTCAGTGCAGTCGTCAGTTGTCTTCCTTGGTATGACTGAAGGTTTTAACTTGCAGGGACTATAGTTTACAGGTGCTAGAGAAAAACAGAAAACTATAAAGTAGAGGAGGCCAAACGTCTCCCGTAAGTAAACCACTAGGTGATTTAAAAATTAAATATGTTGACATTTTCACATCCGTTGTTTTGTATATGCAAGATTCTTTTAGCTCAGCTCCTAATTTTCTTTCCATTTAAAAGCTTCCCATTAAACATTCTGCATAAAATGCTTTCGGCTGGTGGCATTTCAGGAAAATGTAGGCTTCAGGAAGAAACCATTGAAGAGAGGCCTTAGGTACCTTTTAGCTTTTTGGGATGAGTCAGGGAAGTTCTGGTTCTGCATGTGCCAACCTCAGACTTTATTGTTCCCTTGTTATACCTTTGTCTTGTGAGAGACAGACTCTAAGGTCAGATAGTCTAAGTGCAGCCAGCTAATGGAGGTGTGATTGTGGGTCACAAAATAGCTTGATGCCAAAGAATTTTGTTTTCATTATGTCATTTTTGCTGTTTTGAAACTCTAGTTAGAGGTCACAGTGAACTGAACAGTAATGTGTACAAGCAACCCAGTGACTATTCACACATGGACATTTTAGAGTTCTGAGTAGTACGAGCCTGAGCACTCTTCCTTCTTTCCTTTCATGT